ATGATATTTGGTGGGGTCAAAATGTGGACTGTCATAATTCATTGCAAGTTTCATATACAAATATCATTGGTCAACTATGAGATTCTCTTTAGATCATTTATCATGCTTTGGCAGAAAAAAAAAAACACAATTTTTCTCCAATAATTCTTGCTTCATTATTAAAACAATGACAAATACAATGACAATTTGTCTAACAACTTGTAGACAAAGAAGGATTTCTTGATATAAACTAGCCATTGAAAAGAAGCTGAGATCTTTAAAAATTATAATAACTTCACTTCGATTCTGAGATCAACAACACATCAAAACATGGATATGAAGACATCCGAGTTATTTATGAGATCGAAATTTCAGATTTTTCTAGCCTGACGGACACAAAGAGAGACGTAACCGGCCTATTTGATAACCGGAGACTTAAGTCCACGGAAAGATTAGAGACATTCTAGGCCGTGACTCTGTGGCGCCCTTTGGCTACTCTCCGAGCTATGACTCTCCGCCCACCCTTGGTTGCCTTGCTGTTCATATTCAGAAAACTCACTAGCGGTATCAGTAAACAGTTTTGGTCACTCAAACAAACATGTAAAAATGTAGAATCTTATTCTTTCTTTCTATTAATACCAAACAACAAATTCCTCTAATGTGAATGGGCAATGAGCAATGATTTGAGGAGTCAAAAACTTTTTGAAGTTCGAATCACTAGAATTTACATAAACATAGAAGTGAAATTCTATTCTTGGGAAAAAACAAGGAGGTTTAATATGAAGAGATATACCGAGCAAAGAATCCATGGTTCCGTTTGCGCCTGATAGTGCTTGGTTGGAATGTCCTCTTAGGAAATAGAAGCAATGGCTCAGTTGAAGGATCAACTACATCACCAGATACAAAGATATTAGGCAGGCACAATAGAGCAGCAAATGTACACTTTGCAGAGACTAAATCCCAAAGACCAATAATTCTTTACAATAACTTCAGGAATGGACTATTCTTTAGATTCTGGACACATAATATTCTTGCACTATATGTAATTCAAGAACAACATAGCCAGATTCTTGTCGTCATAAGAGAATTAACTGATTATTATCCACTTAATTTGATCCAAGCACACATTGGTAAACACAAACTTCTTGCACTATATGCAATTCAAGCACAACATCGCCAGATTCTTGTCGAAATAAGAGAAATTGTTGTGTATACTAATGTGATACGAGCACTTTAAAAAGCGCAATGATTTCGATTCAAGAACTTACACTAGCAGCAAAAATGTACAATAACAGGACTAAACCACTTAAAATTTACTATTTCCAATCTTGTTTCTATTGTGCAGGCACATGAACAAGCAAGAAAAGATTCAGATTCCCTCAAGGATCAAATCCTTATACTCTAAAAAAACAGAACACTGATCAGCACTTGACAAGTACTCAAGCATCGTATACACTAAGAGTCATGTTTCTATGCCAAAAATGGTACAAACTCAGGTAGAGTCAGAACAATATTACTAATCTAGCTACTGACATATACAATTACCTTCTGGTAAGAAGAACTCGAGCGAAGGAAGACCAGAAGGGTAGAGAAACCCACGTTCGGAGAGTTCCTTGAGCGAAACAGTGTCGTTAGGGCGCGAATTGAGCGAGCTCTGTAGATTCGACAACGACGGGAAAAAATACGGCGGGAGTTCTTGTCCCTGTGGAGCTATCTGCTGAAACGATCTGAGATTGTTCTGAACAACATTCGTCGTCGGCTTTGTCAGAAACCGATTCATCAACGAAGCTCCAGACCTGATTAGGGTTTTGGCCGCCATTTCTCCGAGATTTGCAATTGCTCTCCACAGTTCTTCTTCTCTCTTCGAAAATGGACGAGAAAGAGACGACGATAATACATTTGGGCTTTGGGCCAGGCCCATTTTAATAAACAAATAGATTAATCAAACGGTGGCATTTTCGTAATTAATTATGATACTAGAAGGACAAATTCGGTATTAAAATTTCATGTAGCAGAACAAGCATAAACAAGAGTGTCGTCTATAAAATCTACATTGTTCATGGTCTCTAACTGTTGTTGCAGCATCGCGTAGATCATCTGGCTCGACGGGTGAGACGAGTCAGCGACCGCGAAGGAATGTGCTTCTTGACCGATCAAGATCCAGCTCAAGGCTGGTTCTTTCCTAATTCCTCGATCTCTCATCACCTCTCTAACTTCTGCAGCAGAAGAATTGACTCCAGACTCGTTGTAAATGTTGTGTAACAATACGTACGAGCCAGAGGCCTCGGGATCGAGTTCCATCAATCTCTCTGCAACGCGTTTCCCAATTACGCTGTAGTTGTAAACCCTGCACGAACTCAGCAATGCTCTCCACATCACTGGGTGGTCTTGATACCCTGAGCTCAAAATCAGTTTCTCAGCATCTGCTAGTTTCCCTGTGCGGCCTAAAAGATCGACAAGGCAAGTGAAATGTTTCTCGTTTGGGTTAATCCCGTAATCGTTCTTCATGCTTTGGAAATAGTTCATTCCTTGTGTGACCAATCCTCCATGGCAACAAGCTATTAGAACGCCGAGAAACGTCTGCTGGTTCAGTTTGAATCCGCTGGTTTTTAACGCCTCAAAGACATTTAAGGCATCGCTAGCAAATCCGTGTTGCGCCAGGCTTGAGATCATAGCGGAGTATGTAGCAACGTCTGGATTTTTTACCTCGGTAAATATTTTATTCGCAAGCGGCATGTTACCTGATTTTGCGTACATAGAGATGCTTGAGGTCTTAACGCTGGTGAAAGCATCGATTCCACTCTTTATGGCATAACCCTGAATCTGCTCTCCTGAGCTTGATGCAGCAAAATCAGCACAAGCACTCAGCATAAGTGAAACTGTATACTCTTCCGGTCTTATACGGGATGAAAAGAGTTGTCGGAACAGATCAAATGCGCTTTCAAGCTGCTCGTTTTGGACATGACAATCAATTATCGACGTCCACGAGGCGATATCTTGCTTTGTTGTTGAAACAAAACATTGCATTCCGTCTTCAGTTGAACCCATTAATGCATACAGCTCGATTAGAGCGCTCCCAATGAACTCATCAGACTGAAAATTGTTCTTACATATGAGCGCGTGGATTTGCTTTCCATATTCCAAGGTTTGCGTGGCACTACAAGCTTTGAGCACGGCTGAAAACGTCGATGGTGAGGGTTCCAATCCCCGTCTTTGCATATCTATGAAAAGCTTTAAGGCTTCACTAGAAGCTTCATCGGTTATGTCATCCATTTGGAGAAACCCAGAAATCATCGCATTATACGTAACCACATTCTTGCCAGGCATCAAACTAAAAAGCTTTATTGATTCTTTCAAACTTCCATTTTTTGCATACATGTCAAGCAATGCAGTACCAACTACTATATCAAATTCCATCCCTAATTTTGCTGCGTAACAGTGAATAGCCATACCTTTATCCATCGATCCTTCGTTCAGGTTTAAGCAACAAGCCCTTAGCGCACTTCCCAAAGCATAAGTACTCAACTTTAGACAGTCTCTATGCATTTTAGCCAACAGATTAAGCGTTTCTTTCACTGCACCAACCCGAACATAACCAGAAATCAAAGAATTCCATGAAACTTGATCCTTCTTATTGGATCGATCAAATAAGGACATTGCTAGGTCAAGCTTTCCACACTTGCAATACATGTCGATCAACAAATTGATAAAAAAACCTTGATGAGCCAAACCATATACAACAACCAACCCGTGTAACAATTTGCCTAAACCGAGATCACACCTTTCTCCACAAAAACCAAACGCACCGGCATAGGTGTACTTATCAAGCTTCAAATTATAATCCCTAGCTTCAAGAAATAATCCCATGGCCTGTTCATGAAATCCCACCTGGCGGTACCCAGAAATCAAAGAATTAAAAGAAATAATGTTTCGTTCAGGCATTCTGTCGAACAACTGGCGTGCAAAACCCAACTCCCCGCACTTGCAATACATATTTAGAAGATTGTTCACCAAAAACAGACACGGTTTGAAGGATGACTTGATCATGTGGCCGTGGGCTAGCTTTCCCAGAACCGCGGAGCGAGATTTCGCGGCTGTCTGAACAAGTTTCGTGTAAGCTTTGGAATCCAAAACCATGTTCTCTGGTTGGCATAACAAAGACAAAAACCTGTAACCCAATCCAAATCGTTTGGTGAAAAGAGTGAAGAGAGAATCTTGAGCAATGTTGTTGAACGGAGTCTTTGCTCGGAACTGCAACATGTTCTCCCATCACATAACGTAAACTGAACTGCTTTTGTCTGCAACAAACCGGTCTCCAGATACGACGATTTTCCTTCTTTCTCCGCTCTGATTGTAACTTTCCGGTTTGTCGACAAATCGGAGAGAAATTGAACTTAAGTTACACTGAAATATAGCTCGTATAGATTTTATCCTCACGTCGCACTTATCCCATTTATATCATATNATCTCGCTTATCACTATTTTAAATTGATTTCGAATAATATTTAGTTTTTATATAAAATAAATTTTCAGTCATATTTTTGATAATCTATGCATATACCATTTATATTTATTGGAAACTAAAAATTCATCAAATAAATATTTGAGGCCAAACAATTAAAACTATATTCAAATATATATCAAAAGATATACCATTTTTTTTTTTACAAACTAAAATGAACTAAACCTAAGTGTGGGGGAGCCTTAACCCAAAGAAAACCTTAACCTAACAAACCAAACAAAAGAATGGTTCGATTCAGATAGGTTAAAGTGAAATCTACCTTGTATATGTAGTGTTCAATTAGTTTTCGCGGGTGATTTTATATTCATGTCGCACTTATCCTCCTCATATAACTTTCTACCAGCATTTATATCATATATGATCGCTTATCACTATTTTAAATTGATTTCGAATAATATTTAATTTTCATAAAAAATAAGTTTTCATTCATATTTTTGATAATTTATACATATACACCATTTATATTTATAGGAAACTAAAAATTCATCAAATAAATATGTGAGGCTAAACAATTAAAACTATATTCAAATATATATCAAAAGATATACCATTTTTCTTTTCAAACTAAAATGAACTAAACCCTAAGTGTGGAGGAGCCTTAACCCAAGGGAAGCTTAAGCCTAACAAATCAAACAAACGAATGGTTCGATTCAGCTAGGGTAAAGTGAAATCTACATCGTATATGTAGTGTTCGGTTAGTTTTAGCAGCTGATTTTATACTCACGTCGCACTTATCCTCCTCATATAACTTTCTACCAGCATTTATATCATATGATCGCTTATCACTATTTTAAATTGATTTCGAATAATTTTTTGTTTTCATAGAAAATAAGTTTTTAGTCATATTTTTGATAATTTATACATATACCATTTATATTTGTAAGAAATTAAAAATTCATCGAATAAATATGTGAGGTCAAACAATTAAAACTATATTCAAAAATATATCAAAAGATATACCATTTTTTTTTCAAACTAAAAGGAACTAAACCCTAAGTTTGTGAATCATTAACCCAAGGAAAACTTTAACCCTAACAAACCAAACAAACATATGGTTCGATTCAGCTAGGGTAAAGTGAAATCTACCTCGTATATGTAGTGTTCGGTTAGTTTTGGCGGATGGTTTTATATTCACGTCGCACTTATCCTCCTCATATAACTTTATACCAATATTGATATCATATGATCGGTTATCACTATTTTAAATTGATTTTGAATAATATTTAGTTTTCATAGAAAATAAGTTTTCAGTCATATTCTGATTTTTGTTTAAGTTTTCAAGGTGTGTGTTTAAGTTTTCAGTCACATTCTCTCACGTAACTCCTTCCAGCCTCTCCTAATTGTTTCTTCTTAGTTTTTTTGCAAATTAAAAGGAACTAAACCCTAAATGTGGGGAGCCTTAACCCTAGAGAAGCCTTAACCCTATCAAACTAAACAAACTATAGGTCGATTCAGCTCACGCATGAAATATAGCTTGTATACGTAGTGTGCGGTTCGTCCTGGCGGGTGGTTTATACTCACATTACACTTATCCTTCTCATATAACTTTCTAATAGGACTTATATCGTAGGATCGGTTATCACTATTTTAAATTATTTTTGATTAATATTTAGTTTT